CCACCCGGCACTCAAGGAACCTGTACTCCAAATGGTTGGACTTCAGGAGAGGTATTTCTTGATTGGATGCGTATCTTCGTGGAACATGTTCGGCCTACACCTGAGAAAAAGATACTTCTACTATTGGACAACCATAAGAGCCATAAGTATTACCCAGCTTTGGATTACGCTAGCAAAAACAACATCGTAATCTTATCCTTGGCTCCACATACAACGCATAAGATGCAGCCCATGGATGTAGCCGTTTACGGTCCATTGAAAACATATTTTGAAAGGGAGGTAAATGCTTTCCAAAAATCTCACCCTGGACGCATTATAAATCAATATGATGTGGCCAGACTGCTATCACCGGCTTTCCTGAAATGTGCAGTAGCTATAAATGCCGTTCATGGTTTCAAAAGACCTGCTATTTGGCCAGTGAATAAATATGCTTTTGGAGAGGAAGATTACGAACCAGCCGCTGTAATTGCAGGAACATCTAACATGAATTATTGGTACAGAAAGCACAATTTCACCAGAAAGGATTGATATTCCAGGATTTTTTGCAGAAACTTCTTCAACCCCTTCGCCTTCGCTTTTGCAAGAATTTATTCCACCAAACCCAGTGGATCTTCTAGTGGAAATAATTCCATCTCTAAATAGAGCTACCCCTTTTGAGCTTGAAGCCCTTATTGCACCAATTACAGACTCTTTCAAAACACCTGAAAAGATTAGTAGCGAGGTTGGATGTACACCTCAGCCAGAACCTGGATGTACCCAAATTGTCTTCGCTGTTGAGCCGCATGTAGCAACGAATGCTCAGACAATTGACACAATGCTGCCATAGATCGAAGAAAATACTCAACGAAATATAAGCCGTGACAAATCACCAGAACCGGAACCTGGATGCTCAACCTCCCACTATAGCCCTTTGGTTTTGAGACCTATACCAAATCCTGCCAAAACAATGACCACTCGTAAACGGAAACTACAAAAATCTGAAATATTAACGAGTACGCCGATCAAGGAAGACCAAAAGCAGAAATTTGAGAAAAATAAAGTTAAGGAGGTTACTAAAAGACTGGATGATAAATCAACAAAAGTTATTGCTAAGATTGTTATTAAGAAAAATAAGAGTGACAATAATAAGAAAACAGCTAAACAGCCAAAGAAAATTAAAGAATTTAAGGATATTTTATGCTTTTTTTGCGGAGGAATTAACATTGAAGAAGATAATAATCCTATTGAAAATTAGATTCAATGTCACATTTGTCAACAATGGTGTCACGAAGAATGTTCCGCATTCGATGGCACGGAAGGATATATTTGTGATAACTGCCAATCTTAATTTTTTAATTATTTAAGTTCAAGTTATGTATTTTTCAGTTTACTAAAAAAAAGTTTATTTAGTTTGTTACTCTCGTTTTCACAGTTATTAACATGAGTATTCACTTTGCCCGAGTACTGTATCCGCTTTACCCAGGGGTCCGGGCAAAGCGAATACTTTCGTACTTTTTTTAATTCTATTTCCAGTTAATATATGTTTAATTATTTAGGTTAATTGATGACAGTATTTGTAAGAGCAATTAATAAAGACCGATTTGTACTAGTTATTTTGTTTTTATACCTTATACCTTTTCTGCTATAACCTTAAATATCTTAAGGTATCCACTTTGCCCGGCCTTCCCCTACATGAAAATGTCGAATTCTTTGAAAATAATCAACCAATTTTCTGTAATTATATGGATTATTCTATACTGCCGTTGATTATTCGATACACCTTGTTCTGATTTCGGTATATTTTGATTTTTTCAAAACAAAAACCTTCCAATGACATCCTGTTCTTCCAAATTACATTGATACTGACAGTTCTTCAGTTCTTTTTAATAGCCTACGTTCATCAAATATTTTGTTCTCAGATATTCAGCGCACGTTGATTCCAAAAGATCCTCAGGAATGAGTTAATAGGTTTTAACGATCTGATTGTACTGATAATTCATCCATAGATTTGAATCATTGAATAAATCGATACAGCTAGTGCCATCTATTAGTCAGAGGCCAAAGGTGCTGTCTATTTGGAGAGTAAATATATAATGTAAAAAGAGGCATGATACCAAATCTAATGGAAATAGGTAGATTGAAAATCATCTTTTTTTTTAATTTTGAATACATTCATCAAATATACTTATCAAAATTCTATAAGAAAATGCAAAGTGAAATGAAGAATAATACCCCATTTTCAAAGTTTCTGTACCGACAATGTTCTTCAGTTGCTCGATAACAAATATAACATTTGAACGTTTTTGAAGTCTAAATATGTTACATATTTATCATGCGGCATACTAGTATCTGAAGACAACAAGAATTTTATCATTGATTAATTTTAGACCATTACCAGTGAACCAAGCGTTTGACTGGACTGGAGTTTTTTGAATTCAATTACATAAGTTAGACTGTTGCGAGAACTATTCGTCATCGGCAAATATTACACGTTTTGTTGGTGCAACAAAACTACATGAATCGTTGCTGTATATTATGAACAATACGGCACCTAGAATAGAACCCTATGAAACACCGTAATATATTTTCTTCAGTTCTGATTTTTGTTTCCATTTAGATCAACGCACTGATTTCGAGGCGAGAATATCAACCTCAGATCATTGTCTGTGATACCATAATAGTTCAATTTCTGAGTGAAATACATGGTCAAAAGCCTTTGTAGGTTAGGTTAGGTTAGGTTAGGTTAGGTTAGGTCCAAAGTGAGTGGGTCTGTTCGACCCTCCATCGCAAATTGTGGCTCACACCTATTCACACTCGACCAAATAAATCCAGCTTCTTAACGAAGCCAATTAGTTTGTATGGTGAGTGGTCTTTCAGGTCAGATGGTAAGAATACGACTCTATCGAACTCTAAAAACTTGATTCGATCCCCAGCGGGGCAGGCACAAAGTATATACTCTACTGTTTCATTGCTAATGAGGTAGTCGGAGATATTCAAGGTGCAAGATTCTCACCTTAATACCCGCGACAACCTTTTCATATGACGATGCCTCAGATTCACCCGTGCAAGGCTTTTTCGCCTCTGGTTTTGGTGAATCATCACTTGAGCGCAAAAGTTTGCTAACCTGCCCATGGGGGGTTTGTTCTCCCACCTGAGACAGATTCTGCGTACGCCGCTCAAGAATTTGGTGCAAGGCGGTTTCATAAGGTAACCCGCTCTTGAGGAGACGACTCAGTCGTTTCCTGGCTGCACCACCAAACCTTTTTTTTAGGTTCAGTTATTTGATCAGGAGTTGGAGAGTTGAAAAGCACTCGCTCCTGAGCTAAACCCACAGAGAGGTCAGTTGGAGTCTTAAGCTCAACATCCATCTCCGCTGTAGACTCGCTCCTGATCTGAATTTACAGGGAGTCGTAAGCTTGACATCCATTTCCTCTGTAAACTCAGCGTCAGAATAGGGTTTTTAAGTGTACTCTGTCCTCAAAAGTCCCACGAGTAGTCAGGAAAAGAAGGTCAATCACAGCAGAACCCCGCATTACCGTGATAAGGTGATGCTACGACGAGAGGGCGCTCGGTATCTCGAAGGGTCCGTAGAGACAGCTGATAGGCTCAGTGTCGTTCATCCTCTCTGCACGGATACACACACCTTAAGGCCGGGACACACCTGTCATACACCCTTCAGATCCGACCTTCATCATACAATCGGACGAGTGTCTGAGAGGGAAATGGTACGAATATAGTAGTTAGTTCACATCGTTCCGATACGTGACCAACCCCGCTCCCATACGACTCTGATCCTGCATTCGATCATGATCCGATAATGCAGCTTATTTCTTCTCCAGCTGCGGGATGGGTATCGCTTGTTGTTTTGATGTTATTTGAGTTTTTTGTTTTCTCCAAATTGAATTTAAAAAATGTCATTAAAACTGGAGAAGCTTATTGAGCAAGTCAGAAAATATCCAGTTCTATATGACCAGACTGAAGAGCTGTACCGCTGTTCTCTATGAGAGCTCTCCGATTTTCCTCATCTTCTCTTTTCGAACAGAGTGCTTTAATGGCTAAATCGCAGTTGCTAAAATTCTTGAACGTTTAGAGGACCTTCCTAGATATTGTTCGAATCGAAACTGGCGAGAGTGGCAAGTATATCAAGCCGGAGTGGTAAATCGGAAAGAAGTCGGAAGCATGTATGGCAAGTGTGATTACTCACTGGCGATCCTGCACAGATCCTCTTTTGGGGTCAAATCAAACCGGAGTCGGATCGGAGAGGTGTATGGAGAAGTGTGTCCCGGCTTTTAGGATTGAGCCATCGTTGGGATGCCATTCAGTTAGGGAATAACAGAACCACAAGTGATTCTGTCATTTCCGTATTCAGCGGGGCTACATGGGAGCAGGCATCCGATGGCCGGTTTGCTCAACCCCCACATCCCAAGCCAATGCACTCGCTAAACTATGTTCGTTTGGGAAAACCGTATGGCACTTCACTGAAATAAAAATGTTTCTCGAAGTAAAAGTATAATTGGTTTTTTCAAATGATTTTTTTCCAATTGAAGAGGGGCAATAATTCTCCAGCAAAGATTTGGAATCATTTTGAAATTTTCAAAATGTCAGGAAATGTCAGTCACTGATTCATTCATTTGACTGTTGAAATTATCAACATCTCAATTTTTTTCAATGAGTCAATAGCAGCAGAAACTTTTTGAGAATATGTTGGTTCTGAAAATGATGGACTGAAAGGTGGAAGGAAATGTCTGAAAATGAGTGAGTTATATCATCAGCTTTTGAAAGTCAACGTTACAGAAAGGAGATGAGTATGCTCTCTTTCATGAAGAGTAGAGGACTGCATTACCCGTTTGACCTCATTGAGATTTGTTTGTGATCATTCGAATAAAAAAAAATACTGCCACACTAGAAAACAACGTGAAATATGTAGTTTTGTGCAAATTACCTTGTATACGACTACTGACTTGAGATGAGTATATTCACCAGTTGCCAATCAACCATATTCGAAAATCAGTAATTTTCCATTCAGGTTGAATTGTAACTTTGACAGTCAAGTGTCAAACAGAAACTATGTTCAAAATTCCAGTGTGAAGTAACAAAAATGCTTACTCATCCAAACTATGGGAAAATCTCCCATGCTGAGAGACTCAGAAGAGGCACTTCTTGCGTCAAAAGGTTACCGTCTAATGAAAAAACTTGGTGAGGGTTCTTATGCCCCAGTATTTCTCACCGAATACCTAGGCGAAACTGAAAAATCGAAAACTAACAAAAAAGAAGAACCTACCAACCTGGCATGCAAGGTAATCGATGCGAAAAATGCCCCGAAAGATTACGTGAAGAAGTTTCTACCTAGAGAGTTGGCAATCTTGTCTATGGTGAATCACCCTCATATCGTCCACGTGCATAGCATTTTCCAGAGAAAGAGCAAGTACTTCATCTTCATGAGAATGGCGGAAAATGGCGATCTTCTAGATTACATCTTGGAACACGGACCCGTATCTGAAGCGAGATCCAGATTGTGGTTCAGGCAGATAAGCCTGGCTGTACAGTATCTGCATGAGCTGGGAGTAGCTCACAGAGACTTGAAGTGCGAAAACTGTCTAATCTCCGCTAATAATAATCTGAAACTGACCGACTTCGGATTTTCCCGGTTCATCATCGACATGAGGGGTCGATGCAAAGCGAGCTCCACATACTGTGGTTCCCTCAGCTACGCAGCTCCAGAAGTCCTCAAAGGCAACCCTTACTATCCAAAAATGTCCGACTGTTGGTCACTAGGAGTAATCCTCTTCACCATGCTCAACAAAGCTTTACCCTTCGATGAGAAGAAAGTGAGGGAACTGCTAGAACATCAACTCAATGGTAAGTGGAAATTTCGATCCAAAGTAGACGAGGTGGTGAGTGAAAACGTTCACTACGTAGTGGAGTGTTTGTTGAATCCAGACCCAGTGAAACGCTGGACCGCTACGCAAATCGTGGAATCGGACTGGATAAAAATGGATCAGAGACTAGCACACTTGACTGCAGACGAGCAGTACTGCCTGAATCAAGCCAAAACGAATGGTTTGGTCTTCATGCAAGAAGCTAGAACGCAGATTCGTAGGGCTTCCAGAATTGAAAAGTCCGACAGGCTGATGAGAATCGAAAAGAGGGACAGTATTGCCCCAAAGCCAAAGGAGGAAGAGGAGGTGACAATGTTCAAAGAATCTGATCCAGCTGATGGCAAATATTCAAGTAGTTTGAAGAATTCTCGAGTTTATCGTGACTGAAAGAAGTTTTTATTCATAGGCTCCAATTTGTCTCAGATGTTGTATTTATGAAAAATAAAATTGAACTTCCAATATTTTTTGCTGATTATTTCAAGAATTTAGATAGATGAACAGATAGAAGATATCAATAATGAGAGCTGCTGAGTTTTGTGAAGTGAGTTGAACGTAAGTATCAAATTCTATCCGACCATTCCAATGAAGTAATGAGGTCGAAAATGAGAAAGAACATTGTTGATGTTCCATCAATAGGCAAAAGGCAAGTTTTTCTTTTCTAATATATTTTTGTGGGCGTTTTTCGAACCACTTGCACAATTATTATACCTTTCTTCATGTTGGAAAGGCGGCTTCATAAACATAGCTCCGCTTTCAGATTTTATTCTGTTTATTTTTCAAATGGTGCTATAGAGAGTTGGAAGAAAAATGATCGGAAGACATGTAAAAGCCATTTAATCAAACCATGCATGCATATCTACAATTGGACGGCATTATGCAGAAAGCTACCAACACACAATATATCAAATATTGGGTTGGGTGCGTATTCAGGTGATAAAATAAGCGTTCTGCATTGTGCGAAACCCTACCAAGCCCCAATTTATTATAAACCCCAAAAAACTATAAAATACCAACCCACATATTCATTTTGCTCAATCATACAATTTGTGGAAAACTACCAACCCACTTGGTATTCCACTTATAATTTGCAGAAAGCCAGCAACCCACTTGGTATAATTTTAAAATAGAACCAGACGCACCCAAGTGGGTAGGTAGCTTTCTACAAATATGGGACTCTTCTATAAAATCTGACTTAACCTAGTATATATTTCGTCTTGTTGTTTCAATAGGGTGATGAGTTCTAGATAGTTGAAAAAAAAATTAATATAATGTGAGAGTCTCCTTATTCAGCGCAATTTTACAGTAATTGAACTGCTAAATTGATGCAGGCTGCTCTTGTAATGAAAGAACATCCAGGCAAGTTTTATATTATTATTGTTTTATTAGTCTTACCTCTATATCTCAGTAGGTACTGAAGCCCAAATAAATGACCAGTTTCCACTGAACAGATCAAAATAAATAAGTCAAATCGGTCACTTCACTTTACGGACGGTATTGAATGACAAAGTTTGTAAATATTCTTTTTTTCTTCGTGTTAGGTTCACCATCATTGGTGTGGTAGTCATTTTGATCAAAATAAATGAAAGATATTCCCTTTTCAGATGTTATTTATGGACCTGATCAGGAAAGACTAGTAGTACCAAATTCCACCATCGTTGCGGTTCGAATCTCCACATCTGAAAACACAATACCTTCAATAAATAATATTATTCTAACAACTTTTACACCAGTTGATGTTGCTAGAAAATAGTGGCGACTCAGTGGCAGACCCACATTATGAAACTGAACAGGAAGATTCATCAGACGCAAGATATCATTAACGAAAATATGTTCGTGCATGTTGTTGCGGATAACGATCCCCAAGTCGATGCTACCCAATAAATGAATCCAGTTTTGCAGCAAAGAATTAAGAGAGGCAGAAAACGAAAAATTTCCAGTCAAACTTGCAAAGAAAAAATATATGAATGTACACCAATAAACCATATTTTAATTATGGAAGTATGCAATTTCAACCCAAGGAGTTTGTCGATTTTCGTTGTGACTGTACTTTGAAATGTGCAGTCCCTTCAAAACTTCTCCAAGACGAGGCCATTATCTTCAGGGTCACCAGAGATTGCCCTCAAGGTGGGGTACTATCTCCCCTTCTTTGGTCGCTCCTGATGGATAGTCTGCTTGATGCCCTCGACAGAAGAAAAGTAGATCTGCAAGCCAACGCAGATGACCTTGTCACATTTGGCAATGTCTACGTCGTGAAGGGTAGCTTGTAATATCCTCCAAAGCACGATGGACGTTATTCACAGTTGGTGCCTGAGGAAGCAGATGATTGAGGAAGCAGAAAATTGGACAATCTAACGCCACTTTCTCTCAATGGTGAGGTCATTCCATTTGAAACGGAGGTGAAATATTTTGGCATTGTTCTTGATGAAAAACTCACCTGGAACGCCTGTATACACAACCTCGAAATTTTGAAATCCGCGTTGATTTTGGCCCGCTTCCTTTTTGAAAATTTTCAATTTTCTTAGCGTGAAGTTCAAAATTCAACTTTAATGAAAAAAAAAATAAAGGAGCCAATCATGTTTCCTCTTTTGGAGTAATTAGTTTCGAACAACTTTTCTTTTTTTATAGCAAAACAATTAGGAGCCTCCACTCCTTCGTTGCCCCAGGACCCCTGGAATTTCAACTCTGGCTCTGTATACACAATCTGCCCCTCACTGAGAAGGTGAGGGGCAGATTGTGCATACTGTATACTGAATGAATTCTATAATGGATCACCATCAACTTTATAGTCAATTGAAAATTGTCGAGCTCTCATTGTTCATCTAATCATTACGATAGATTGATGGAAATCCATAATAACGTATTCAAAAAACACTTTATTGTGAAGTTTTCTCTTGAAAATTCACAAAACCACGACACTTGTTTCGCTATAAGACAGCATCTTCTTTTGTCATGAGTATTATGATGCCCAGTTTTTTTTTGTCATTTGTTTGATAGGTTTTCGCCTTCAGAAAGTACCTGGGTGGCTTATCAGTGTTCATCCACTGTCCTGTTTTCCTAACCTGTTTTCATCATACGTGAGGATTCTATCCAAAAAAGGTTCGTTTCTGTTGCGCAAAAGCAAAGAGGAACATACCTCAAAATATGACAATTTCTGTCGATCTTTTAAATTGTGGAGTACCCACAATTCGAGCTTCTTGATCTTTCCAATACGTTTCAAGCCATCAAAAAACGCATGGCAGCTGACGCCCAGTTCTTCCTCCATTCAAATTACCTTTTGTGATGGGCCAGTCTCCACCAGGGTCCCTAAATTCTCCTCCTGGATTACTGTAGGTCGACCATTGCGCAGCTCATCTTCGAGGATAAAATCTTCTGAACGAAATGTTGCAAACCAACATCGTACAGTGCGTTCATCAACAACATTATTGTCAAATGTCTGCTGCCCAATTTTTCGGGATCTGTATCTGTAGAGTAGGGAGGGTGAGTGTAGACCCACAGCACGTAGGCCACATGTGACATCCTCCAGAGGAGTTGTCCTTCTAGATCATCGTCCATCCTGTCTTTTCCAGGAAGGTGGACAGGTCACTAGGAGACATTTTTTATATTTGCAGGTGTAGGCCAAGACTCGCCGAACACACACTCTCTTTGGCAACCTTGAGGTGTCTCACGGTAGCCTCCGCGAAGGTTTTGGAAGGTGCAGCGACATTACTGTCGTTCAACCTTCTTGGGGTTCCCTTCGTGAAGGTGCACAAGTGAGGAAGCTTTTCTGCATAGGCAGCCGGTTCCTTGCCTTCATTCAAGGCGGATGGATCTCTTAGCGTGCGCCGCAGGAAGTGTTCTTGATGATGGAGGTGGAGTGGAAAAGGAGGAGGGTGCACTTATAGTTGCTGCTACTCCTGCTTCCTCCGATCTCTTCCTATTTTTGGCCTCGGTGCCGCAAATGCGCTCACACCTTGACCTTTGTATTACAACTCGAGGTGATCTGCTATGTCCAGCCTCATTCCAAGCGGTATATTGGGGTGGAAATTTTTGTTCATTCCCAGCCACCGCCTCAGATTGAGGTGAACACTTATGTCCAGCCTCGGGATTGGTTTTTGTTGTTTCTATTTTTGTGTTTGTTTCATTCATGTGTTTTTCCACGAGTAGCAAGGGAAGAGTTGGTCACCTCTGGCAGAGCCCTTCAATACCAGAGATAAGCTGATTACAATGATGTTTCGCCCAGTTCCCTGAGGGGATCATTCTCAACCGCATAACACCCAGCGGCCATTCAGCTGCCGGCACGATTCCTTACACCTCAGCTTGGGTGGGCTGTTCCAAGGTGGCATGTTTTGTAAAGGCATTTGGGGAGTTTTAGTTCCCTTCACCCTATTTATTTCTGCTACCGACCAGGAGTCCGGCGCACCCGTCCGTAAGGCCACATTGAATTCCTGAACAAGGGCTTTCAGCCCCCTGACCGTTCCCCTATTCGTCACCTGGGAACGCGCCCGTTAGCTAGCCTAACCAACTGGATGTTTTGGCAGCGTTTCGGTTCAATTCGAATTCGTTAAAAAAAATTGCCGACATCATATAGTAATCTGAAGGAAGGCTAAAAAATATCAATATTGAAAAATTGAACAACATCAGTGTATATAGTACAAAATTCTCTGTTGATCAGTGAACACCACGGCACAGTAGAACAATTATTCATTGAGATACGGAGCTATAAAAATACATGACATCAAAATGAACAAAACTTTTGAAAAAACCTAAATCTCACATTTAATGACCTGTTACATGTTTCCCATGAAATAAATAATATAATCACGTTTGTGAGCAGAAATGTTTTAGTTTCCTCAGTGAACTTATGTCTTCATTCATACTGTGTTTGTTTTTAAACTAATTTTTCATATAGGAATTCAAGGTACTGCAGTACATTAGCAGATAATTGAAAGTAGGTACAAAGTTCTAGAAGAATTTCCAAGGAAAAGTAAAACAGAACTTAAACTGTCCAGAAGCAACTTAAGTTAGATTTTGCTACTTCCTTCTCCTCTCACACATATGAAGGGAGTAATACATTCCTTTATTTTCATCAACATTTCCCCATACTGACTCTAACTTTTCTTCCACCGCAGTAACCGCTTTTGATATACACAACTTCGCCTTCAAAGTGCCTTCAAGTAAATCGGCTGCGGTTTCAGACCACATTATTAACGAAATTCAACTGTTCCCTTCAGGAAACATTGTTTCGTTCACGTCAACTCAACCACAACGTGCAAATCACGTACAAATTCTTATTTTATCGTTGGTTCGACTTTTTGAAGTGAACTGAACTGAATTTGTTGAAATAGATTTCATGAAGTTGAGCTGAGTGGGTTTAGTTCATTTGCATATAATACTCGTTTATTGACGAAAACTAAGTTGGAACAACATATCTACTTAATAAATTACTAGTTGTTGCCCGCGGCTTCGCCCGCGCAGAATTTGGTAGTTACAGTACTATGTTGCTATATCGCTGCTGTTCCAATGTATTGATAGAATCAGAATCAACGAACTTAGGCGTGCGCAGCGTTATAGAACAGTGATTTCAAAAAATTGTTCTACAGCGCTATCTAGTGGCGAGTTACAGAAAAATTGATAACCTAAAAACCTTCTCTATGAAAAATTACTTAAACATGTCAAGTTTCATCGCTAGACTGGCGAGCCGCCCGGGCCTCGCACGGGTGCAAAATTGATTCTAAATATGAATTCACACACCGGAAATTCAAGGGCTCAGAAAACCAGTGATGAAAAGATAGTTTTGTTTTATAGAAGCGCCTTTTTCCCCAGCGGCTGGCATTCCAGTTGGAATATTCGGAAATGCCTTCTTATTGCATAGGTATCTACAATATAAAACGATCCTTCATACAAAATTTCAGCCTCCAACAATACAACGGTAAGGAGAAACAGTGTTGAAACGATAATTTTCATTCGTAAAACCCCCTCTTCTACCCCTACGGGAGGCCCCCCAGTTGGAATATTCGAAAATCCTTCCTCAATGTACATTTAAGACCAAAGAAGCACCACCTCTATACCAAATTTCAGCTTCCTATAACTCACCAGTACAAAGAAACAGACATGAATGAGTAAGAGTGACGACAAACAGGAGATGTACAGGACAGTAGCTGAACAAATAGGTTTTTTACTGGCTCTATCTCTTTTACTGAAACACCCTTCTTGACTAATATCAGAGAACCTCCATGTTTATGGTTATTTCTTGAATAAATAGATGCTATTTGATAGTTACCAAAATGCACAGAATTTTTCAACTGAGGACCCTTCATTCAATGTTCCGATACACAGAGCACATCAATATGATTTATTTCTACAAACATTTCAATTAATGTATAATTGTTTAAAAAACCTTGCACATTTATATGACCAAAATATATGTTGTAGTTGTGAGTAGCTGGAAGGCAGTTTTCTGTGAAGTTATTGTTAATTTTGTTCAGATTATATCTATCGACTAGAAGCTCAGATGAGTCTGTAAATGTCCTAGGGATAAAAAATCTTCAGTCAATTTAGGGCCCATGCTAATTTTTTCAGTCATTTGTATCTCTTCAGCTAAGGAAGTTGGTCTACTGGAATCAATACTCATATTTATGCAGATGTCATCGGATAACGATAATTGAGAGAGTCTGGGGTAAATATAGTTCGTTTTTTCAATGATGTCATTTCTTCGAGGAGGAGAAGTTTGTACATTATGTTGTCTTGGAGATTCATGAAACTTGGGCGGGTTAGACTCCTCAATTTTGAAATAATGGTCAATATGGTGCAGAAGAGCTTTAAACAGAAACCACTTTGCTGATTTCTCAAGAGAAAAACCATCGAAATTGTAATTTTTTTTGTCTAATAATGTTATTACAATCCAAAAAGTTTTTAGACATCTGAATCTTATTTAAATGTGTCATCATATTCAGGTTACTATAGTATATTGACATGTTAGTGTTTTTCAGATCATAACGATATGGTTCACTGATAAAGATGAGGTGTGGCTTGCTTATCCTGTTTGAAAAGGTTTCTTTAATTTTTTTTGCAATCAGGTCATAGTTTCTGGGCCACAGAATTATAATATCTGTTTCTCGAGATTGCTTTATGAGTTCGATAGTGGCACTATAGAGATCTTCGTCCCCACAGCCAGGTTTCAAAAGAGACTCTATAGTAAAATCGCCACCCGCCTGTCTGTTTAGAAACTCCGCCATATTCCTGCCATTGTAACCTGATATTAATGTAATCTTCCTTTTTGTGTTCTGCTGAGCATCTAATGGTTGGGACTGTGAGGGACTAATACTCGTGAACACGAAAGATCGATTCATTTTTGAAGAAAATATTGTGTATTTATTTTTGACTACGCCACTGGAACGTTTCATGTCTGACTCAGACAGTGTGGACGTAGATTGGTGTTGTGTTTTTGTTATTTTTGTTTGAGTAAAGCAGTCTGTTTTTGATGTTTTAGATTTATCAATTTCGGAATGTAGTTCTTTTATTTTATCTTGGAGTTTACTAATGATTTTTTGTTGTTGTTGTACTAAACAATTTATTGCATGAATGATATGTTCCTTGAACTATTCGGTACAACAGTCGAATTTTCTTGTGTTGAAATAATTTTTTTTTCTGCCATGGACACAACTGCCGTTGATGTTTCTAGCGGGTCGCAAATCGGGTGTGGGTGTTATTTCGGAACTGCCAAACGTTCTAAACACTTCATTAGCTATTTCTGTCCTGTGTGCTACCGATTCATCAACATACCCTTCAGCGATCATTGATGGCTTCCAACCGCTATGTTTCTTCAGTGTCGTCATCAAGTCTCCCCCAGATTCAACTAAAAGTGTAGCAGACGATCTTCGAAATGAATGATTTCCTACAAACGGAAGTATTCATAATGTGACTCTAGACAAAAAAGTGATCCCCATGTTCCGTTTCGTCAGTATAAGTATAAAACAACGCTAAATTGTCCATCAGTGGTAGGTCTTACTATTTTCAATAAACTCCCTAGGTGTTTAAAAGATATAACAAACCTCAATAAATTTAGTAACTTGTTGAAGAATTATTTGATTGAGAATTGTTTTTATAATTTGCAAGAATTTTAAAATTCGTAATATGTAAGTGTATCTGTGGTGTATCTTATTTCATTTTAATTTTGTTGTTGTTGTTTTAATAACAACGGTGTCGCTCACTACTCTGCCAACTACTCTGTGGAGAAAAATCTCATTTCTGACGTGCAATCGGGGTTTCGCCCACAATTTAGTACAACAACAGCACTGATCCTTATCACTGATGATATTTTCAAGTCATGCGATGAAAAAAAATTCACTTGTCTCATTTTGCTTGATTACAGCAAGGCTTTTGACACCGTAGATTCTTTTATCTTGTGTAAAAAACTTCAGTTTTTTGGTTTTTCTCGCAGCGCAGTAACTCTTTTAGACACATATTTATCAGAACGGACTCAAAATGTCATACTGGATGGTGAACAATCTACTTCATTGGTCAGGAGATATGGAGTACCACAAGGTTCAGTGTTGGGACCACTTCTTTTTGCTCTCTACATAAGTGATTTCCATAAATACATACAGACATGCAAAATTCACCACTACGCCGATGATACCCAACTATATACGTCTTTCAGTTTTCATGAAACTAAAGAGGTCGAAAAACTCATCAATAGAAATCTTAAATCGCTATTTGATATATCCTGTGCACACAATTTAAAACTCAATCCAAATAAATCGCAAGTTATGCTTTTCGGACCAAAAAATAGAAGAAGTACGGTGCGTGAATCTCTATCTATTCACATCGATAATCACGCTATCCCTTTTGTAGAGGCAAGTAAAAATTTAGGTTTATGGCTTGACACCGAACTTAGATTCACAAAACATGTTAATTACGTATGCAAGTCTTCTTTCAATATTTTGAGGCAGTTATATCCTAACAGACTTGTAATGTCTAAAAACTTGAAACTCAGCCTCTGTGAGTCTCTGATACTCTCAAGACTGGCCTACTGTGATAGCATTTACGGACCAGCTTTACTACAAACTGATGATCGGCGTCTTCAGAAAATACAAAATAGTTGTATTCGATTTTCGTATGGAATCCGTAAATACGATCACATAAGCTCATCCTTTGAGAATTCAGGTTGGCTGAAACTTAATGCCCTGAGAGAACTG